TTCCTGACTGCAGTGGCTAAATCTCCTGGCGTCCCGACACTATGGGATACGTCCAGGAGCCAGGGGCTAGTGGGCGGAGATAATAAAGGGCAATTACGTAGGGATGGTTAGCGATTTAGAAGCCATTGCTGGGGCTCGAACCCAGCTCCTTGCCATTAACAGTGGCATGCTCTACCTCTTGAGCTTCAATGGCTTTAGTCAAGGCTACACACAAGGGGGGAATTTTAAGAGAGATTTGCTTCATAAGAGGCTATATAAGAAACCGCATTAACTTTGAAGAGTGTACGATTTGTAATATAATTAAAGGTCGATCGAGGAACCCCTAAGTGTTCACCAGCTCTGTTATTATTAGGGAAACTAGCTACTAAGTCTAAACAATGCCGTGGTTACGGACAGTGTACAGGTAGACTGTTTTGCCTGTATTAAACCGAGGGGTATTTTCCCCTTGCCGGCCCGTCTTAGCCGCAGCCATCTTGGCCTTTATTATCTCTGCCCTTTAGACCCTTCCCCTTATAACCCCTATTTACCTCCTGCTCGCCCTTACCGGGCGGCCGTTTACCGGCCACTAGTCGATGCCTTTCGGCAGCGCCTCGCAACGAAGTTGCGACCGAAGCCTCTCGGGGCTCCAGGCGTCCTTACACTAAGAATAGTCCGGAGCCAGGCCGGCGGAGCGCCCCTGAGACGTCAGGATAGTCCCGAGAGCCCGAGGGCGGTGATCGTAGTACGACCAAACACGTGAGGATCTTGTCCCATTAACGTTCTTCCGTTCTATTATCTAGAATGTTGGTTCTCCTGTACGAAATATTGTTGGTGCTCTTCAGGTACGTTTAAATGGACTTATGGAGGAATATGGTGCTCATGCTGAGTCTCCTATAATTCTACGGTTCAAAGCTATCCCAAACAAATTATGGTGGATGGCCAAAGGCCAACAGGTCCCAGATTATACTTCACTCGAAACTGCTAACAAATCTATTAACGATTGGCTTGGTAATCCTCAAGCTCAGGCCCTGCTACACAACCTGAGAAACCTATTTCTCGTCGTTACGCTTTTTCTCAAATTGACAAAGATAGAATTAGTTCACAAGAGCGTGTTGAAATGGCTAAAATTGGTGCTAAGCGTGAACGGGAACGGGAACGGGGCCCAACAACGGGAACCGAATCTGCTAGAACTACGTCTAAATAAAAGTACACGTAGGCAAGAATGCCTTCTAGGTTACGTGAGGAAACTGGTAGACCTGCTGTTTTTAAATAACAGTGCCAAGAGCGTGTGGGTTCGAATCCCACCGTAACCATAAGCTTGCGACCGGGCAGGCGGGCTGGCTCCTGGACGTATCCCTATAGTGTCGGGACGCCAGGAGCGACAACGTTGCCTACGGCGACCGGCGCGGCAACGTACCCGCTGCTGGCCGGTTTACCGACCAGAGGGCGGCCCCCTCCTGGCTACTGACACTAAGGATAGCCCGGAGCCAGGAGCACCGTCGCTCTCAATCTATTATAAGAAGCACCCGATGGTGGGTTTAAAAGCCATCCTTAAGGATATTCCTGTTTTGAATCTTAATAAGGGCCAAATGGTCAATAACATAAACAACAGTTGGGAACAACATTCCTGTGCGGTACCAGGATGCCTGACCAGTAGAGTGAGTCTTTTAGGTGTTCCTAGCCGCCGCTGCTCATCTAGACGATTGTTAAAGGTATTTTGTTATGAGCCTATTCTTGCCTTTTGTTTTCTCTCCTATAACCCTTGTTCTTTCATTTTCCAACCCACGTACATCTTGCCGTTCTCTCGGTTTATCCACAAATAAACCCCGCCCACTAGCCCCTGGCTCCTGGACGTATCCCATAGTGTCGGGACGCCAGGAGATTTAGCCACTGCAGTCAGGAATTCCCGGACTTGATCAGGGTCTGTGTAAAGCAAATCAAACACATGATAAGTCATTAAAGAGTTCTATAACTTAAGTTCTTGGATAAGAACTCTTTTCTTCTTCTTTGGTGCTTTCAAGCAACCTCAGTTGGGGGCCCCAACAAAAGGATTCTGTATGAATCGTGATTATTCCTTTACTTTGATCAAAAGATCCATCCCCGCTTAGCCAATAATGAGCAAAGGTCATCTCGGGGTAATAAGTTCAACAATATTCTCAGGAAGAAGCTTTACATTTTTCCCATTTTCCTGTTTATACAAAGCTTGTATTGCTCACTAAAGAATGGGTGGGTAAAGGTAACGAAGCGCGTAGAAGTATAAGTTTGTTCCGTTCTTTTATCCGTGCGGGATCTAGTCTTAGGGGCAGCACCTACAATACCTACAGAATAAAAAAGGGTATACAGTTGGAGTACAAACTCAAGATCCTTTTGTTCAATGTGAAGTGCAGCATCCATATTTGGGTAGCGTTTATCCTTTTGTAAATAACAATCTCCCAGGAGCATCCCGGTTACGACTTCATTAATTTATCAGTGTTTTGTCTGCTTTGCTAAGGCGTTTAAGTTTTCGAGTGGGTTTAGTGCGGTCTTGTGGAGAGTCAGGTGTTGGAGAGGTAGAGTAAGAGTGGGCAGGTGGGCTGGAAAATGAAAGAACAAGGGTTATAGGAGAGAAAACAAAAGGCAAGAATAGGCTCATAACAAAATACCTTTAACAA